TGAACACCTGGCCAAAATGGGCAGAGGTTCAAACTTGACAATACTTTTTAAAACTTTTTGCAGCAACTGGAGTTTGGACTCAAGGTCTCATACTTGATAGGTGCTCTGCCACTTGAACCATATCCCTAGCTATCTACAGAACTTTTCCATCTTTCCTAATTGGAAGTCTGTCTATGAAAAGCAACTCCCACTCCTCCCAGCCTCTGGCAGTTCTTATTATGTCTGTTTTTGTGCTGGTTTTGGGGCTTGAACTCAGGGCTTGGGTGCTGTCCCTGAGCCTTTTTTCTCAGTCCTCACACTTGAGCCATACCTCCACTTCTGGTTTTTGGGGGGTTAATTGGAGAGAATTATATCACAGACTTTTATTGCCAAGGCTGGCTTTGAACCACGACCCTCAGATTTCAGTCTCCTTAGTAGCTAGGGGACACCAGTGCCCAGCTGGCTTTTGATGTTTATGTGCAGGAGTGTGTGAGTGTGGGGAGGGGGTCTTTGTCTGTTGGTCTTTGTCCTGGACTTGAACTCAGGACCTGGGCATTGCCCCTGAGCTTTTTTGCTCAAAGCTAGCACTCTTAACACTGTGAGTCACAGCTCCACTTCCAGTTTTTTTCTGGTGGCTAATTGGAGATGGGTCTCACAGACTTTCCTGCCTGGGCTGGCATCAAACTGCAGTCCTCAGATCTTAGCCTCCTGAGTAGCTGAGATTTATACGAGTGAATGCCCAGCTTGATTTCTAAAAATTTAATTGTCTGTCTGTCGGTCTATCTATCTATCTATCTGTGTCTGTTGTGGGGCTTAAACTCTGGGCCTGGTCATTGTCCCTGGGCTCTTCAGCTCAAGACTAGCACTCTATCATTTGAGCCACAGCACCACTTCCAGTTTTCTGATGGTTAATTGGAGATAAGAGTCTCATGGACTTTCCTGCCTAGGCTGGCTTTTTTTTTGGGGGGGGGTCAGTATTGGGGCTTGAACTGGGTCTGGTGCTGTCCCTCAGCTCTTCAGCTCAAGGCTAGCGCACTACCACTTGAGCCACAGTGCCACTTCCACTTTTCTGAATGGTTTATTGGAGATAAGAGTCTCACTGATGGGGCTAGCAAGGTGGCTCAGTAGTAGAGCGCTTGCCTTGCATGCATGAGGCCCTGGGTTCAATTCCTCAGCACCATGTAAGCAGAAAAAGCTGGAAGTGGGGCTGAGGCTCAAGTGGTAGAGTGCTAGCCTTGAGCTGAAGAGCTGAGGGACAGAGCCCAGACCCAGAGTTCAGGCCCCACAACCGACCCAAAAAAAAAAAAAAAGTCTCACGGAGTTTCTTGCCTGGCTGGCTTTGAACCGTGATCCTCAGATCTCAGCCTCCTGAGTAGCTAGGATTACAGGCGTGAGCCAACAGCGCCCGGCCTCAATATAATCTTTAATTGAACTATATCCAACTTCTCCTGATTCTTCTGTAATTTCTAGCATGCTATTAAAGACCATAGATTGACATTTTGGTTTTATATGCGCTTTTTCTCAGTTATAGAATTTTTATTTTTATTTTTTGTTCAGTCCTGGGGCTTGAACTCAGGTCTTGGGCACTGTCTGCTTAAGGCTAGCCCCTACCACTCTGAGCCTCAGCTCTACTCCACTTTTTTTTTTTTTTTTTTTTTGGGTCGGTTGTGGGGCCTGAACTCTGGGCCTGGGCGCTGTCCCTCAGTTCTTCAGCTCAAGGCGAGCACTCTACCACTTGAGCCACAGCGCCACTTCCGGCTTTTTTTTTTTTTTTTTTGCTTATGTGGCGCTGAGGAATCGAACCGAGGGCCTCTGGCATGCAAGGCAAGCACTGAGCCACCTTCCTAGCCCCTCTACTCCATTTTTGGTGATTAATAGGAGATAAGAATCTCATGAACTTTCCTGCCCTGGCTGGCTTTGAACTTCGATCCTAACATCTTAGCTTCCTGAGTAGCTACGATTACAGGCATGAGCCACTGACATCAACATAGGATTCCATTTGGCTCTTTTTCATAGCTTCTTTTGCCATTTTAAATTTATTCTTTGATTAGAAGTATATTCTCACTAGCTGGTAGTGGCACACACCTGTAATTCTAGCTTCTTAGGAGGGTGAGATCTGAGGATCGTGGTTTAAAGCCAGCCTAGGATGGAACGGCCATGAGACTCCCATCTGCAACAAACTACTCAGAAAAGGCTGGACTGGTGCTATGGCTCAAGTTAGTAGACCACTAGCCTTGAGCAAAAGCTCAGGGACAACCTAGGTCCTGAGTTCAGGCCCCAGGACTGTCATTTAAAAAAAAAAATCTTTTTTTTTTTGGGGGGGGGGGAGGGTGGTGGCGGCGGATCTGGGCCAGGGCACTGTCCTTGAGCTCAAGGCAAGCACTCTACCTCTTGAGCCACAGCGCTACTTCCAGTTTTCTGGTGATTATTTGGAATGAGTCTTTCCTGCCCGGGCTGGCTTTGAACCATGACCCTCAGATCTCAGCCTCCTGAGTAGCTAGGATTACAGGTGTGAGCTACCGGTGCCCAGCTTCCTTTTTTTTTTTTTTTTTAAGTTTGTTTGTTTTTTTGTCGGTAGTGGGGCCTAAACTCTGGGCACTATCCCTCAGCTCTTCAGCTCAATGCTAGCACTCTCACCACTTGAGTCACAGTACCACTTCTGGCTTTTTCTGTTTATGTGGTGCTGAGGAATTGAACCCAGGGCCTCATGCTTGCAAGGCAAGTACTACCACCGAGCAACCTTCCCAACTCCTTTTTGTTCTTGAGTGAAGTTGTAATAGATTCTCTCAAAGTCTTACTTGATTTATTTTTGTTTTATTAGAGAATTTTTATTTTTTGTAATTGATATATATTCATTTATTTTTTCATTGTCTTTAAGTAGTTGTCCAAAGGGCTTTCAAGTCAGCCTGTGAATTTGTAAGTAATGCATCCTGTTGAGTGCCACCTTTTTCATTGTTTTCCCTCATTGAATTTCGGTATTTGGACTATTGTTGGTTTAGTTTGTATTTTCTTGATTGATACGTTCAAAACTTTGGATTATATCTTGGTTATTATGAACAATGTGTTGTGGACAGTGAATTCTATTACAATCCTCTTAATGTTCTTGTTTTTGTTTTGTTTGGGCCGCAGTCAGCATCTGATTTTATAGCTTGGTATTTGGAATCTGCTCTATGCGAAGTCAGCCTGAAACTTGGGCAGTCTCAAGTTCCCCCACCCCTTTATAGATGGCACAGAATTTAAAATCTAGAAGACCTACAAAGGCCTGGCATTGGTGGCTCACGCCAGCAATCCTAGCTACTCAAGAGGCTGAGATCTGAGGATCACAGTTCAAAGCCAGCTAGGGCAGGAAAATCCATGAGACTCTTTATCTCCAATAAACCACTCAGAAAACCAGAATTGGAGCTGGGTGCTGGTGGCTCATGCCTGTAATCCTAGCTACTCAGGAGGCTAAGATCTGAGGATCGAAGTTCAAAGCCAGCTCGGGCAGGAGAGACCGTGAGACTCCTATCTCCAATAAACCACCAGAAAACCGGAAGTGGTGCTGTAGCTCAAATGGTAGAGCACTCGCCTTGAGCTGAAGAGTTGAGGGACAGCGCCCAGGCCCAGAGTTCAAGCCCCACAACCGACCAAAAAAAACCAAAAAACTACCAAGTCCTGCTCTCTTTCTTTGAAGAGTTGACTCCTATCCATCTTCTCATGTTTTTGTTTTCCTGTGACTTAAGATAGATTTTTGTTTGTTTTTTTTGTTGTTGTTGTTTTTTTTTTTTTGGTTGGTTGTGGGGCTTGAACACTGGGCCTGGGCACTGTCCCTCAGTCTTCAGCTCAAGGCTAGTGCTCTATCACTTGAGCCACAGCATTACTTCAGGTTTTCTGGTGGTTTATTGGAGATAAGAGTCTCACGGACTTTCCTGCCCGGGCTGGCTTTGAACCACGATCCTCAGATCTCAACCCCTTGAGTAGTTAAGATTATAGGCATGAGCCACTAGTTTCCGGCTCTTCAAATAGTTTTAAATTTAAAAAACAGTCCAAGATTTGGGCTGGGAAGGTAGCTCAGTGGTAGAGTGCTTGCCTTGCATGCATGGGTCCTGGGTTCTATTCCTCAACACCACATATGTAGAAAAAGTCAGAAGTGGTCCTGTGGTTCAAGTGGTAGAGTGCCCGCTTTGAGCTGAAGAGCTCAGGGACAATACCCAGGCCCAGAGTTCAAGCCCCACAACTGACCAAAAAAAACCCCAAAACACTTCTGTATGGGTGTGTGTGTGTGTGTGTGTGTGTGTGTGTGTGTGTGTGTGTGTGTGTGTGTGTGTGTGTGTGTACTAAACTGGAGCTTTTTGTGCGAGTTGATTGGAGATAAGAGTCTCAAGGAATTTTCTTTCTGGGCTGGTTTCAAACTGCATTTCTCAGCTCTCAGCCTCCTGAGTAGCTAGGAGACAGTGTGAGTCACCAGCACTCTGCTCATTTTGCTTTAAGCTCTTCCTGTTTTCCTACACCTGGCTGCATATATTGTTGATTCTTTTGTAATTTTGCTTTTACCAGAGTTTTAACCCAGGACCTCGTAAGTTGCTTATCTTGCGCTTTTACACTTTCTGCCTGATAGTTGGATAGAGCCATGGGAACTTTTCTGCCTGGGTTGGCTTCATGCTTTGTTCTTCCTGATCTCAGCCTTTTGAGTAGCCAGGATTACATGTGAAATACCGGTGCCCTGCTAGATTGGCTCTTTTAAGTGCATAGGTGCTGGTGCAGGGTAGAATCTGCATGTCAGGGCCAAGTATACAGGTTAAGTTGTGTGTCCCTGCCACTGATTATTGTTTTTGTGCCTGGAGTTGGCTATCTGGACAGGCCGTTGTACTTTCCCTCTTACAAGTGATTCCTTTCAGCTTTGTAAAGTTGAACAGCCTTCTGAAACATATAAGCCAAATATGGCCTTAACAAAACCTCACCCCCTCCCCCAATTTGTAGAGGTGTTGTAGAGGTGGGTTAGATTGTAATATAGTATTTTTTCTTTTTGATATTGTAGCGTTTTAAGAATCAAAGCATCTAGGCTGGATGGAATTTAGCATCAATAAAAGTCCCCTTTCTGTTCAGAAAGTTGTAAAGTGCATGAAGATGAAGCAGACACCAGAAATCCTTGGCAATGGAAATGGAAAGACTCAGAACTGTGAAGTGAACCACGAATGTTCTGTATTCCTCAGCAAAGCTCAGCTTTCCAACAGCCTACAGGAAGGGGTCATGCAGAAGTTTAATGGCCACGATGCACTTCCTTTTATTCCTGCTGAGAAGTTGAAAGATCTTACTTCCCGTGTGTTTAATGGAGAACCTGATGCTCATGATGCCAAATTGTGTTTTGAGTCCCAGGAAGCAAAAGGAATTGGGACACCACCCAACACGACCCCTGTCAAAAACGGCTCTCCAGAAATTAAGCTGAAAATTACCAAAACATACATGAATGGGAAGCCTCTTTTTGAATCTTCCATCTGTGGCGACAGTGCTGCTGAGATGTCTCAATTGGAAGAAAACGGACAAAAAATGGAGAGCAAGGCAAGGAGGAACAGGAAGAGGAGCATAAAATATGACTCCTTACTGGAGCAAGGCCTTGTGGAAGCAGCTCTAGTGTCTAAGATCTCAAGTCCTGCAGAAAAAAAGGTATTTGAGAGTTTCTGTCAGGTCATGTGACAAGAGCAGTGTACAAATCCATATGAGATGCCTTGGTGTGTGCACTTGGAGAGGGTTGGGATGGGCCTGGTGCTGGTAGTCCTGGTCACATAGGGCTGGTGCTCATGGAACCTTGATGGCAAGTCAGACTCAGCGGCCACATGGGACTGTGGCCTCTGTAGGTCTTTAGCTGCCTTCTCTGCCATTTGAGGGGGCAAGGGAGATTACTAAAATACTAAAAAGAGGTAAAACCAACTTCTGATCCCAGGCATGCCAATTTCCACGTGTTTTCTAGACAACTTGAGGCTCACTGTTGTCATAGATGCTGTCTTGTAGGCACTCCTATGCTGACGGTCTGTGGAAGCACAGGTCCACTGTGCGACCTCGCGCTGTGCTACCACACACCTGGAAGCAGAGCTGTATCATGCAGACGTGCTGCCTCCGCGGCCACTCGGCGGCCTCAGACAGCGGCCCTGCACACGGCCGCCTCCTTGAGGATTGGCACAGATACCTGAGGAGAGCAGAATCCAGAGTGACTTCACAAAGATTTGCCCTTTGGGATAATATTCCTCTTCAAAACCTGCCTATGTTCCAGAGATGGGGAGACCTAAGGCTTACAGTACTCTTAGCACCCAGAACATGACGGGGGCCCTGCCTCACTCAGCACAGGGTGTCTTCATGGGCCTTGAAAGAGTGAGCGTCAGATAGGTGGCCGGGGTCAGGGCCAGTGTAGATTTGGGGTTCTGAGAATAAAACACAGTTGAAGGCCATCTACCAAGTTAAGGAAATCAATTTACAGAGAGACTTTTGTAATGTTGAACACTCACTAGACAGGGTGTGGTGAAGTGACATTGAGGCTAGGATAGAAAGGGTAGTAAGGGGAACATACTCTTGGATTCTTGGATGGTTTGCTTTTGTTTTTTTTGTTTTTTTTTTTTTGGTCGGTTGTGGGGCTTGAACTCTGGGCCTGGGCGCTAACCCTGTGCTCTTCAGCTCAAGGCTAGCGCGCTACCGCTTGAGCCACAGCACCACTTCCGGTTTTCTAGTGGTTTATTGGAGATAAGAGTCTCACGGACTTTTCTGCCTTGGCTGGCTTTGAACCGTGATCCTCAGATCTCAGCCTCCTCAGTAGCTAGGATTACGGGCATGAGCCACCGGTGCCTGGCTTGCTTTTGTGTTTTTTGTAGTGCATGGGATTGAACTCAGGGTCTTGAGCATGTAGGCAAATGCTCTTATCCCTAAGTGATATTCAGCCCTCCCTGTGTACTTTGAACTTTCAGCCTGATTACTCCTTGGTCTTATAGGTGGGTGAAAAGCTATGTTTAGAGGTAGTTATTGGATGTCAATGTTTGTCTTTTGTTTTTACTTCCAGATTTCAGTTAAGAAAGAATCCTGTCCTAACACTGGCAGAGACAAGGAGCACTTGTTGAAGTACAACGTGGGTGATTTAGTGTGGTCCAAAGTATCTGGTTACCCCTGGTGGCCTTGCATGGTGTCGGCTGACCCACTTCTTCACAACTATACCAAACTTAAAGGTACTGCCTTGTTTTTTTTTTTGTTTTTTTAAATCAGGTTTTGTACTTCTACGTTTGTATCTAATGCGTCTTACAACCAGGCTTCTTTCTCCCATCCCCCTAAGCGGACCTGCTGTAGTCATTATTGTAGTTTCACCTAAGGTGGGTGACTGGTTCAGATATGACACGGGGCCTGGGCCCAAGGCTGGCCCTCTCCCACTTGATCCACAGCACCACTTCCAGCTTTTTTTGTTTATATGGTATTGAAGAATCGAACCCAGGGCTTCACCTTCCCAGCCCCAGTATACTTCAGATCCAGCTTCCACATATGAGAGAAGACATGTGCCATTTGTCTCCCTGGCCTGTATTACCTCAGTTAGCATGGTTTCTCTAGGTTCATCCATTTCCCTGCAAATGACGTAATGCTCTTTCAGTGGCTGTGTAAAATTCCATTGTGTATAGATACCACATTTTTTGGATCCACTCATTGATTATAGGACATCTGATTGCTAAACATTTTTTAATTAGCATATATAGTTGTGGTTTTCTTTGTAACATTTCCACACATGCCTACAATGTGCCCCATCAACTTTACCTCTTTTTATCACTCTCCCTATCTCCTTCCACTTAGAGTGATTTCAACTAGTTTCATTGTTTTATTTTCATACATGTGTATAAAGTACTTATAGACACTCTTGCCCCTGCCACTGATACTTCCCAACAGAGCTTACTTTAGTCCCCCATCATTTTCTTTTTTAGTGTATATTTAATTTTACTGAGGTTTTTTTTTTTGGGGGGGGGTACGGTCGTGGGGCCTGAACTCTGGGCCTGGGTGCTGTCCCTCAGCTCTTCAGCTCAAGGCTAGCACTCTACCACTTGAGCCACAGCGCCACTTCCGGCTTTTTTCTTTTTGCTTATGTGGTGCTGAGGAATCGAACCCAGGGCCTCATGAATTCAAAGCAAGCGCTCTACCACTGAGCCACCTTCCCAGCCCCTACTGAGGGGTTTTTTACAAGAGAATTTTACGTATGTGTATATATGTGTGTATCCTATAATTTGAACTCCGAGCCTTGCACTTGCTTAGCTTTTTTTTCTTGGCTGGCACTGCACTACTCGAGCCATGCTCCTAGCCTTGCAGATAGAATCTCACCGACTTTTCTGGCCAGCCCGGTTTCCAGCAGTGATCCTTCAAATGTTTACCTCTTTTGTAGCTAAGATTACTGGCTTGAGTCACTGGCTCCTGACCCATATATTAATGTTTTAATCAGGATAATGTCCTCTAATTGCTTTCTTTTCCTCCACCTTTCCCACTCCCTATTGTTTAACGACTTTCTTATGCCATCTTTATGTATAGTGACAGTATGTTTTGATAGTCACCCTTCATCATTTTCTTTTTTTTTTTTTTTTGGTTGTTGTTCATGGGCTTGAACTTGGGGTCTGGGCGCTGTCCCTCAGCTCTTCAGCTCAAGGCGAGCATTCTACCACTTAAGCTGCCGGGCTGGCTTTAAACTGTGATCCTCAGATCTCAGCCTCTTGAGTAGCTGGGATGACAGGTGTGAGCCACCGGCGCCTAGCTCCCTTCATCATTTCTTTTTTTTTTTTTTTTGGGTCCGGTCATGGGGCCTGAACTCTGGGCCTGGGCGCTGTCCCTCAGGTCTTCAGCTCAAGGCTAGCGCTCTACCATTTGAGCCATAGCACCACTTCCGGCTTTTTTCTTTCTGCTTATGTGGTGCTGAGGAATGGAACCCAGGGCCTCAGGCATGCAAGGCAAGCGCTCTACCACTGAGCCACCTTCCCAGCCCGTCCCTTCATCATTTCTTTCCCTCTTCCTGATCCTTCCTCAGCCCCCTGTTTATTTCTTGTGGTACTGGGGATTGAACCCAGGGCCTTGTGCATGTTAGGCAAGCATTTTGCCTTCCCCAGTCCTTTATTACTATTTATTTTTATTAATTAGTAGTTATTTTTATCTATTTTTATTATTTATTTATTTACTTATTTATTTTTTGGGTCGGTCATGGGGCTTGAACTCTGGGCTTGGGTGCTGTCCCTCAGCTCTTCAGCTCAATGCGTGTGTGCTACCAGTTGAACCACAGTGCTACTTCCAGTTTTCTAGTGGTTTATTGGAGATAAGAGTTTCACAGACTTTCCTGCCTGGGCTGTTGGGCTGGCTTTGAACTGTGATCCTCAGATCTCAGCCTCCTGAATAGCTAGGATTACAGGTGTGAGCTACCACCTCCCGGCTTATTTTCATATTTTTAATTAATTTTATTTAATTAATTTAAATTAATTTATTATTGTTTTAATGGTGATATACAAAGGGATTACAATTACCCAAGTAAGGTGATCAGTACATTTTCCTTTGTTCCCTCATTCTTCATTATTTTTTAGACAGGGCCTCAATATGTAGTCTAGGATGGTCTTAAACTGGCTATGTAGCTTATGCTGGCTTTGAACTTGGTGTTCCTGCCTCAGTTTCCCCACGTGCTGAGATTATAAGCATGTATCACTACATTTGGTTCTGGAAACTGTATATAAAGTTTGGATATGATTTGAAGAAGATGAGATGTGTCACGTACAGAATAAGGAAATGTGAGCATCTGAAGCCTTGGCCAGACTAGGCTGATACTCTGGCCTGGTATGTCTGACCAGTCAGACTGTGTGGCCCTCATGCCTGTATGCATGAGCTGTGCCCTCTGATCTTTGGCTAGAGCCACAGAGCTCACACAGCAGCGGTGTTTCCTCTCACTTGGGCCTGCGTCCTGAACGTCGTTTCATGTCCAGCTAGGCCTCTTGTCTGGCGGTGGAGCAGGTGGCTGTGAGGAATAAGGTACAGCTGTTACCTCCTGACAGTTACGGACTGGAAGGGCTGGGTCCAAGATGAGGAACCACGTGCCCTGCCTGCGTCCTGTCCTGGTCTCTTGTCCCGAGGATTGCTGGACCTCTGTTGGGGGTTTGTATTCCTTAGGACTTGAGCAGAAGAGGAGTCTCTGGCCTCGGTTCATCTGTTTCCCTGGGACACTTTCAATGTCTTTGCCAGGATGAGGGGAATCCCCCCAAAGTGTAGCAAAAACAAGGCATCTAGGCTGAAAGAAGAGCTGGTTGACTAGCATTTGTCCTCCTTTGGTAGGGAATGAACCGGCATGTATCACCCCCAGCCCTGGTGTAGCAGTGTGTGTAGGGTGTGCGTATGCCTGATGAATTGCTGCTTTCTCAGCTATCTAAAATGGCAGATCTCTCACTTCCACCTCATTTGTCTGTGTAGTCTATCACCATGTCTTTTCTCCTGTTTTTGAGAAGCTGTGTTAAAATTTTCCATTAGGATAATGGATTTGCCATCTTCAACTGTTCTGTCAACTTTGCTTTACCATTTTTAAGGCTCTAGTGCTCTCCAGGGACAGAAACTTTAGCATGATGATTCATGTTCTTTGCTTCTCAGAGAACTGTATGGTCTTTTGTCTTTGTGATGTTGCCCCTGTGTTCTGTTCTTCTGCAGACACCATCTTTATGATGTCTCTTCCTTCCTGGAGCTCTAGCTCGTGTAATCCATTCTGTGTGCATCATCAGCTGTTGTCAACTCAGCAAGCTCCCCCGAATCCAGAGAGACGATTGGCTCAGCATGCCAGGGTTACTTTGTCTGATGAGTTGTGATGGGGAGGCAGTTGGGCTCAGGACTGTTAGAGAAGGCTAGGTTCTCTTAGAAGGTACAGGTAGTGCAGAATGTTAGTGACAAGCATTTTCAGAGGTTGGCAGAGAAAGAGAGGATTACTAACCGATTAATTGTATAATTAAAATGGAATAGCAAGATTTTTACCACTTACTTTGACCAAATACACTCACAGAGGAGGAAAATTTAAGCTTTTCTTAGAAAAATACTAAGTATTAAAGAACTTCAAAAAAAGTGACTTTTGGGCTGGGAAGGTGGTTCAGTAGTAGAGCGTTTGCCTTGCATGCCTGAGGCCCTGGGTTCAATTCCTTAGCACGACATAAGCAAAAAGAAAAAAGCCGTAAGTGGCACTGTGGCTCAAGTGGTAGAGCACTAGCCTTGAGCTGAAGACCTGAGGGACAGCACTCAGGTCCAGAGTTCAGGCCCCACGACCGGACCCAAAAATAAAAAAAAAACAAAAAAAGTAACTTTTATTTATTTTAGGAATTGCGGCAAAATAATCTTTATTCTGGGGAAGGGGGTGTTGGTTGTGGGGCTTGAACTTGGGGCTTGGGTGCTGTCCTTGAGCTCATTTTGTGCAAGGCTAGCACTCTACCACATACCACTCCCAGTTTTCTGGAGGTTAATTGGAGATAAGAGTCTGGCTTTAGGGCTGGGAAGGTGGCTCAGTGGTAGAGGGCTTGCCTTGCATGCATGAGGCCCTGGGTTCAATTCCTCAGCACCACATAGCAAAAAGAAAAAAGCTGGAAGTGGCGCTGTGGCTCAAGTGGTAGAGTGCTAGCCTTGAGCTGAAGAGCTGAGGGACAGTGTCCAGGCCCAGAGTTCAGGCCCCATGACCAGACCCCCCCCCCCAAAAAAAAGAGTCTGGCTTTAAACCACAGTCCTCAGATCTTGGCCTCCTGAGGAGCTAGGATTAGAGGTGTCAACACCAGCTCCCAGCTTCATTTTCATTCTTAAGGAAAATTTAGAGGATTAAAGTAATGAAACAAATCACTAATCCCTTGACATATTCTTGAATTTCAAGTATTTTCAAGGTAAATTTGCATATTTCTAAAGAAATCCTAAAGTACCAGTGGTGTATGTCTATAATCCTAGCTACTCAGGAGGGTGAGATCTGGTTGAAAGCCAGCAGGAAAGTCCCTGAGACTTGCATCTCCAATTAACTCCCAGAAGACCAGAAGTGGAGCTGTGGCTCAAAGTTGGTGGAGCACTATTCTTGAGCAAAAAGAAAAAACATAAAAAAAAAAAACAAAGCTCAAGGACAGCACCTAGTCCCTGAATTCAAGCCCCATGGTCAAAAAAAGAAATGTACCCATTTCATGTAATCCTTCTGTACATCACCCTTATAATAACAAAATATTTTTAAAAAATCTAAAAACATTTAAACTATTCTAGAAAATTATATTGAAAGATTAATAATTAAAATTGTGCCCTATCTTCCCATTCATTCCCCAAAGGTAAGTATTTTTAAATCTTTAAACATTCACGTTTCAAATGGTAATTTTTGATTGCTTACTTAGTCATTTTAACTTTTTATTAGGAAAAGATTGAATTCTTCATTTCCTTTTTCCTTCCTCCTGTTCTCAGTGTGTGTGTGTGTGTGTGTGTGTGTGCGCGCGCGCGTGTGCATGTGCGTGGTGTGTGTGTGTGTGTGAGATAGGGCTTGAATTCAGGGCCTTGCACCCTCACGTGGCTCTTTTGTTCAAAGCTGACACTCTAGCACTTTAGGCAATACCTCCACTTCCAGTTCTCTCTTTGTTTATTGAAAGAGTCGTGCTATGTAGCCCAGTTGGCCTCAAAGTCTTGATTCTTCTGCCTTAGCCCCTCAAGTGCTGGGATTAAAGGCATGTGTGGCATACCCAGCTCTCCCTATTCTCTTTATATAACTGTCACAATTTCATTAAATCTAAGATAATTATTTACATATTTTTTACTGTCTTACATATCATTCAGTGAAAAGTCAAGTTTTTTGGTATAATTGTGTGTACACATACATACACATTTCTTTTTTGTAGTTTTTTTTTTTTGGGTCCGGTCGTGGTGCCTGAACTCTGGGCCTGGGCGCTGTCCCTCAGCTCTTCAGCTCAAGGCTAGCGCTCTACCACTTGAGCCACAGCGCCACTTCTGGCTTTTTTCATTTTGCTTATGTGGTGCTGAGGAATGGAACCCAGGGCCTCAGGCATGCAAGGCAAGCGCTCTACCACTGAGCCACCTTCCCAGCCCCTCTTTTTTGTAGTATTGAGGATCAAACCTAGGGCCTGAGTTGTAACTGCATACTAGCTAGCTAGAAAAGTGTTCTTATCACCCTACATTTTCCTTGAACATTTTTTTGGTTTTCCTTGGAGTTGTTACATTATAATCATTATAATTATTACTGGTGTTGGTCCTGGGGCTTGAACGCAGGGCCTGGACGCTGTCCCTGAGCTTTTTTCGCCCAAGGATAGCATTCTATCACTTGAGTTACAGCTCCACTTCTGGATTTTTTGGTAGTTTATTGGAATTAAGAGTCTCACGGCCTTTTGTAAGCCTGGGCTGGCTTTGAACTGTGGTCCTCATATCTTAGTTTCCAGAGTAGCTAGGATTACAGGCATAAGCCACAGGTACCTTTTTTCAAGTTTTCATCTTCCTGTGATAGGTTTTTTCCCCTATTTATGTAGTAGTTTTCTCCTACAAAAATAATAATGAAAACCTGTGAATCCTGTCTTTTCTGTTTCTTGGAACATACCTTTCAACCTTTTTTCCTTGTGACTGAGACTTATTCTTTCTGTTTAAGCTTCTCTTCTAGTGCTCTTTCCTGTTGGCTGCTCTGGGTTGCTGGTTTTTAATCATTTGCCCTGAAATTTTGAGCTGTGTTGTTTGTTATTTCTCCTTCTTTACTGGCATACACTATTTTTATTTTGTTGGTGATTGAACCCAAAGCCTCCCACATACTGGACAAGTGCTTTAAGCTACAACTCTAATCCTGGAGTACATTTGTACCATCCTCAAAAATTTATGTGGGAGGTAGATTTGAGTCCTTGTACTTCAGAGGGTATATTATCCTCACACTTGATTAATGGCTTTTTGGAGTAAGGAATCTTACATTGAGAATATAACCTACTTCAGCATTTTAAAGATGTTACTCTATCCTTTTTAGCATCCATAGTTTTTGGTCTTTGTTGTAGTACTGTACCATTCTATGTCTTTTCTATTCCTGTCTTTTTTGTGTGTGTGTGTGCCAATATTGGGGCTTGAATTCAATTCAGGGCCAGAACACTTTCCCTTTTTCTCTCAAGGCTAGCATTCTATTACTTGAGCCCATATCTCCCTCCACTTCCAGCTTTTTGCTGGTTAATCACAGAGATAAAAATTTCCTGGTAGCTGGAGGCTGGTGGCTCACGCCTGTCATCCTAGCTACTCAGGAGACTGAGATCTGAGGATCACAGTTCAAAGCCAGTCTGGGCAGAGAAGTCTGTGTGAGACTTTTTTTTTGTTAGTCATGAAGCTTGAACTCTGGGCTTTGAACACTGTCCCTCAGCTCTTCAGCTCAAGGCCAGCACTCTACCAGTTGAGCCACTGTGTCACTTCTGGTTTTCTGAGTGGTTTAGTGGAGATAAGAGGCTCACAGACTTTCCTGCCCAGCCTCAGTCCTCAGATCTCAGCCTCCTGAGTGGCTAGGATTACAGATGTCAACCACTGGTGCCTGGCTTGAGACTTTTATCTCCAATAAACTATCAGAAAACCCAGAAGTAGCACTGTGGCTCAAGTGGTAGAGCATTGGCCTTGATCTGAAATGCTGAGGAACAGTGTCCAGGCCCAGAGTTCCAGCCCCATGACCACTACCGCCACCGCCACCAACAAAAAGAATTTCATGGTCTAGCTTTGAACCATGATCTTCAGATCTCAGCCTTTGGATTAGCTAGAATTATAGGCATCAGTGCCTAGTGGTATTTGAAAGATTTTAATAGCCATTTCTTTTCCTTTGTTCTCTTTTCATAGAGAACAGTGTGCTTCTCCATTTGGAATCTTTTGCAGAGCCTGTCCAGAACTTACTTGTTTTTGTTTCTTTTTGGTCTGTAGTGGGGCTTGAACTCTGTCCCTCAGTTGTTCAGCTCACGCTAGTGCTCTACCACTTGAGTCACAGCACCACTTCCAGCTTTTTCTGCTTATGTGGTGCTGAGGAATCGAACCCAGGGCCTCATGCATGCAAGGCAAGCGCTCTACCACCTTCCCAGCCCTCTTTTTTTTTTTTTTTTTTATTAAATCCTGATTACTAAGTAGTGTACAAAGGAGTTACAATCCCCTAAATCGGGTGATGGGTGTGGTATTTCTTGGTTGATGCCTGTTGAAGTCTTGAGGACCTCTAGAGGGAGGAGATGAAGTAGCTTGAGTTGACTTCTTTTCTAGTTAGGTTTGAGCTTAGGTATTCAGGAGGCTGAGATAAGAGGATCTGGTTAGAAGCCAGCTTGCAAGAACTTCTGTGAAACTCTTAGCTCCAATTAACCACTGAAAAAAAAAAGCTAGAAGCAGAGCTGTGACGAGTGGTAGAGCACTAGCCTCCAGCATAAAGCTTAGGGCAGCACCCAGTTCAAGCTTTAGAACTTGGCGGGAAGCGGGGAGATATGTGGGCACACACACAAAATTAGGATGAGTTTTTACGGTTAAGAAAATGAACTTCAGGGGCTGGGAAGGTGGCTCAGTGGTAGAGTGCTTGCCTTGCATGCATGAGGCCCTAGGTTCGATTCCTCAGCACCACATAAGCAGAAAAAGCCAGAAGTGGTGCTGTGACTCAAGTGGTAGAGTGCTTTGCCTTGAGCTGAAGAGCTGAGGGACAGCGCCCAGACCTAGAGTTCAGGCCCAGGACTGGCAAAAAAAGAAAAAGAAAATGAACTTCAGTTGTTTTACTGAGTCAACTTCAGAGCAACAATAGAGTTGTCAAATTTCATCCTAAATTCTAATGTTACGTTTTAACGTTTTATTTTCAAAAATTAGGTCAGAAAAAGAGTGCACGCCAGTATCACGTGCAGTTCTTCGGTGATGCTCCGGAAAGAGCCTGGATATTTGAGAAGAGCCTTGTGGCCTTTGAAGGAGAAGGGCAGTTTGAGAAATTGTGTCAGGAAAGTGCTAAGCAGGCTCCCACCAAAGCTGAGAAAATTAAGGTGATAGAGTTTCTTTGGTATATTTTTAGATTAACATATTAATTTTTATTGTGCTATTTGTTTTGAACTAAAATAGTTGTTTATCAATTAGTATTGATTTCTGAGGGGGCTGGGAAGGTGGCTCAGTGGTAGAGTGCTTGCCTTGCATGCCTGAGGCCCTGGGTTCGATTCCTCAGCACCACATAAGCAAAAAGAAAAAAGCCGGAAGTGGCGCTGTGGCTCAAGTGGTAGAGCGTTAGCCTTGAGCTGAAGAGCTGAGGGACAGAGCCCAGGCCCAGAGTTCAGGCCCCACGACCGGACCCCCCCAAAAAAGAATTGATTTCTGATTTTTTTCTTAAAATTATATGCTTTATTTAAATTTGTGCTATAGACACAGATATATATATCTATAAACATGTATTCATTGGCTATCCTTTGGTGATTTATTGTTTTTTATTTCTAAATGTAACTGAAGATAAAAAAAGTGTCCTTTAAGTGAGCTGAATTTTATGTTTGTGTAATGAAATTTCCTATGTTTTCTGTTTAGCTGTTGAAACCTATTTCAGGGAAATTGAGGTCCCAGTGGGAAATGGGCATTGTCCAGGCAGAAGAAGCTGCAAGCATGTCAGTAGAAGAACGGAAAGCCAAGTTCACCTTTCTCTACGTGGGGGGTCAGCTGCGCCTCAATCCTCAAGTAGCTACAGAGGCTGGGGTTGCTGCCGAGCCTTTGGAAGGAGGGGCAGACTCCTCAGGGGCCGTTGAAGAGGCTGCTGTTGATGCCAAGTCTGTGAGAGAAGAAGGTGTGCCCATGAAGAGAAGGCGAAGAGGGAAGAGATCCAGCTCCGCAGAGAACCAAGAGAGTGACCCCGGCACAGAAAAGAGTACTCCTCAAAAGATGGCGGAGGCCGACCCCAAGAGAGGAGTAGGCTCACCTCCCGGAAGGAAGAAAGCCACGCCCTCTGCCCCACGGAGCAGGAGGGGAGACGCGGCCTCCCAGTTTCTGGTTTTCTGTCAGAAGCACAGGGATGAGGTCAGTACTCTGATGCCACCATTTCCAAATTTGGGGAACATCCCAGTAGGCCTTCGGTGTTTCGTCACTGGTCCCTCCGCAGTCTGCAGTGACTCTTGTATATTGATTTTAGGTCTAGTAAGTTCTGATGGGGAATATCATTCTAACCCCTGGGAACAAAGACACTTATTTGTCTTTTTGTTGTTGTTGTGGGGCTTGAACACTGGGCCTGGGCGCTGTCCCTCAGCTCTTCAGCTCAAGTCTAGTGCCGTACCACTTGAGCCACAGTGCCACTTCTGGTTTTCTAGTGGTTTATTGGAGATAAGAGTTTCACGGACTTTCCTGCCCAGGCTGGCTTTGAACCGCAAGCCTCAGCTCTCAGCCTGCTGGGTAGCTAGGATTATAGGTGTGAGCCACTGGTGCCCAGCATACTTATTTGTCTGTGTACTTCTGAGTTGCTACCCATTTCCTCTCAAGTGGTTAAGAAGATAGCAGAGATAGGGAAGTGAGTTTCAATGGATTACTCTTTGCCATGATCTTATTCTTGGCATCCAGCTCTGGCAGTAAGTATTTTCTCCAGCAGGCTGCTCCAGAGCTTCTAGTTTGGGGCACATACATGTATGAGCTGATGTATTCACTAGCACTGAGTCTGTAGAAGATTTATTTCCATGATACTTATTATTTTTATGCCAATCCCAGAGCTTGAACTCAGGGTCTGGGAGTTGTCCCTAAATTTCTTTGCTCAAGGCTTAGTGCTCTGCCATAGCTCCATGATACTTAAAAGAACATGGGCTGGGTGTTGGTGGCTCACACTTTTAATCCTACTCTGGCAGTTGAGATCTGAGGATTGCAGTTCAGAGCCAGACTCTTAGCTCCAGTTTAACCACCAGAAAACTGGAAGTGGAACTGTGGCTCAAAGTGGTAGAGCGCTAGCTTTGAGTAAAAAGAGCTCAGGGTCAGCACCCAGGCCCTGAGTTCAAGCCCCATGATTGAACAAAAAACAAAAAACAAACATGGGTTAGGAATGTGGCTTAGTGGTAGAGTGCTTGACCAGCATACATGAGGCCTACAGTAAGATTCCTTGGTACCACAAAAATAAACAGTAATATGTCAGTGATTAAAGCACTTAAATATTCTTTATTTTCATAAAATCCATGATCTGTTGATAGATAAGAAAGGCTCAATTCCATCATAAGGAGTTGAGGCTATCCATTTTGGGTCATAGTAACTTACTTTGAATTGAGTGGGTTATAGTCTAGGACTTAAAAGACTTTTTATATGGTTTTTAATTTTACGTTCTTGGGAATTTCTGTTTAGAAGTCCAAATCCAGATAGTGATTAATGGTACCAATAAGAAATAGTGTTCAGAGCCAGGTGCCGGTGGCTCACGCCTGTAATCCTAGCTACTGAGGAGGCTGAGATCTGAGAATCACGGTTCAAAGCCAGCCCAGGCAGGAAAGTCCGTGAGACTTTTATCTCCAATAAACCACTAGAAAACCGAAAGTGGTGCTGTGGCTCAGGCAGTAGAACGCTCACCTTGAGCTCAAGAGCGCAGGGACAGTGCCCAAGCCCAGAGTTCAAGCCCCACGACCGACCAAAAAAAAAAAAAAAAAGAAAGAAAGAGTGTCTGGGCACATGCTGTGGTTTATGTCCATAATCCCAGCTACTTGGGAGACAGCAATTGTGAGGATCATAATTCGAGACCAGCCCTCAGAAAACTTAACAAGACTTTATCTTCTTTAATAGCTGAGTGTGTTGATTTCATGATTACACCTGTAATTTCAACTGTGCAGGCTTCATGGATTGGAGGGCTGTGGTCTTAGACAAGCTCTGGGCGAGCATGTAAGACCCTGTCTGAAAGCAAAAATGAACTGTATGGTTTTGTTTTGTCTTCAAGATAGTCTCCCTATGTAGCCCAAGATGCTCTGAACTCTTATACTTTCTGATAAAAGAAAGTATAGGGCTGGGAAGGTGGCTCAGTGGTAGAGTGCTTGCCTTGCATGCCTGAGGCCCTGGGTTCGATTCTCAGCACCACATAAGCAAAAAGAAAAAAGCCGGAAGTGGCGCTGTGGCTCAAGTGGTAGAGCGCTAGCCTTGAGCTGAAGAGCTGAGGGACAGCGCCCAGGCCCAGAGTTCAGGCCCCACGACCGGACCCCCCAAAAAAAGGTATTGCTTGACCCATCATTGGGAAACTTCATTCTGAGGGTATAGGGCGCCCTTTGCCTTTGCAGCCACCAGGTAAGCAGTGTTGGACCGGGAGCTACCAGGGAGTTATGAAAAGGAGCAAGAAGGTAATTCTTGTAGAATGTTGGTAGAGGGTCATTTATCACACCTGTTTTGGAGAGAAACTTGGCAATATCTAATGAAATTGAAAACGTAGGCCCGGGTGCCAGTGGCTCATACCTGTCATCCTAGCTACTCAGGAGGCTGAGATGAGGATCAAGGTTCAAAGCCAGCCTGGGCAGAAAAGTCCATGAGACTCTTATCTCTAATGAACCACCAAAGAACCAGAAGTGGTGCTGTGGCTCAACTGGTAGAGTGCTTGCCTTGAGCTGAAGAGCTCAGGGACAGCATTCAGGCCCAAAGTTTAAGCCCCATGACCAACAAAAAAGAAAAGAAGGAAAATATGTTCCTTTTGTGTTACACTTTTAGGAGTTTTCCCTAGAATAATTTTCTTCTTTCCAAGGAAGACACTAGAGCCTTCAAAACTAAAAAGTTACCAAATGCATGATAGTCGTGGTGTGTTCCTACAATGCAATTATACATAAAGCAAATATACTGGATATTGAAGAAGAAAGCAAGCTGCTGAAGGCTGTGATGATCCTGTTGCTTCCACAAAGTTTGAGCAACATACTATGTGGTTATACCTGCCTACCTTTGTCCATCTCAAAAGAGTAAATACTTAGCTCTGAAGATACATGCTTCTGCACAGCAGCTAAGGCCACCCAGAGGGCTGTCAGTACCACAGTTAGAAAAGCTGTGGTCACTGTTGGATTTGACATGGCACAGCGCTGCCATCAGCATGGGTGTGAATGGCGCAGCAGGCTGGCTGTGCCTGAAGGGGAGGGTAAGCTCTGAATGCTCACCACCAGCACTTGACACTTGGACTGAGGCATGGTGGGCCAGCATGTGCCTTCAGGCTCTGGAAGGCACATGGCTCCAGCTGGCAAAGCCATCTGGTCACATGTTTTCATTTTGTCTCTTATGACAGAAAGGTCAATATCTGGGAATTCAGACCACTGCCCAGAGACCACCATTTTTGTTTTTTGGATCCAGGACTAAGAAATGCACTAGAACTGAAAGCCTGGATAGTGTCATACTGAGAGCCACGTTGACCAGGCTGAAGGTGCACACCTAGAGTTGGTTTGTTATGCGCTATGTGTGCGCACACACAGAGACACACACACTCCTAGGGCTTGAACTCAGGGCCTGGGCATTGTTCCTGAACTTCTGCTCAAGGCTAGTGCTCTACCACTTGAGCCATAGTGCCACTTCCAACTTTTTCTGTTTATGTGGAATTGTTTATGAGGAATTGACCCCAGAGCTTCATGCTTGCTGGGCAAGCACTCTACCACTAAGCCACACTCCCAGCCCTGTTTTTAGTTCTTAAATGTAATTATTATTAATTTTTGGTCGGTCGTAAGGCTTGATCTCTGGGCCTGGGCACTATCCCTCAGCTCTTCAGCTCTAGGCTATCGCTCTACCACTTGAGCCACAGTGCCACTTCTGATTTTCAGGTGGTTTATTGGAGATAAGATTATCACTGACTTTCCTGCCCAGGCTGGCTTTGAACCGTGATCCTCAGATCTTAGCCTCCTGATTAGCTAGGATTACAGGCATGAGCCACCAGCGCCTGGCTAAATGTAATTATTCTGTTTTGTTTTGTTTGGTCCGGTCGTGGGCCTGAACTCTGGGCCTGAGCGCTGTTCCTCAGCTCTTCAGCTCAAGGCTAGCGCTCTACCACTTGAACCACAGCGCCACTTCTGGCTTTTTTTCTTTTTGCTTATGTGGTGGTGGGGAATAGAACTCAGGGCCTCATGCATGCAAGGCAAGTGCTCTACCACTGAGCCACCTTCCCAGCCCCTAAATGTAATTATTCTTAAGGTGTTCAGTACAGAGATTAGGTGATGAGTACAGTTCCTTTTGGACAATGTCACCCTTTGCTTTGCTTTTCCTCAGTTTCCCCCTCCCACCCTTGCTCACAAGTTCCATAGTTTTTTTGTTTCTTTGTGTTTTGGTCAGTCATGGATGGGGCTTGCACTCAGGGCCTGAGTACTGTCTTTGAGCTTTTCTGCTCAAGGCTAGTGTTGTATTACTTTGAGCCACAGAGCCACTTCCAGTTTTCTGGTGGTTAATTGGAGATAAGAGTCTCACAGACTTGCCTGCATGTGCTGGCTCCAAACTGGGATCCTTAGATCTCAGCCTCCTGAGTAGCTAGTTCATTAAAAAAAAAAAACCAGAATGTTAGTATTATTGAGGTGTTATATGAACAGGTTACCATTTCATAATTCAGGTAATGTGTACCTTTCTGTGTACCTTTCTCTGTCTTGGATAATATCACTCCTTCCTTCACTTTCTTTTTTTATTTTTCCCCTACCCTTTCACTTTCCCTCAATTTCCTTCTCCCCTTTCCTAAGTTTGCCCTGCCCGCAAGTTACAAAATAGTTTTTTTTTTTTTCCCCCGTTTTGTTTGTTTTTTGGTCATGGGGCTTGAAATCAGGCCTGGACACTGTCCCTGAGCTATTTTGCTCAAGGCTAGCACTCAACCACTTTGAACCACACATCCACTTCCTTTTGGTTTTCTGGTGGTTAATTGGAGATAAGAGTGTCACAGACTTTTCTTCCCAGGCTGGCTCTGAACCATGATCCTCAGATCTTAGCCTCTTGAGTAGCTAGGATAACAGGCGTAAGCTACTAGTGCCTGGCCATAGTTCACTTTTTTTTAAAATAGAATTTTGTTATTAAGATGTACAGGTGGGTTGCCGTTTTACAATTTAGGTAATGAGCACATTTCTCTTTTG